AATACAAATGAATAAAGGCTGATAGTTTCGAAAGAAACTGTTTGGGGCTGCGTCGGTGGGAGTAACGAAATAATTTGGATATATCAACAAAGTTGAAATGGTAAATTGGCCACCGTAACGATTACAAAAGCTGACGTTTCGAGCGTTAGCCCTTCGTCGGAGCGAATAGAGGAATTGTGGGTTGTGTGTGCTTTTAAAGGCAGAAAATGGAGCTACGTTATTGGTGGGAACATGGCAACGAGAACAAATCGTGTTTTTTCTCGTTGCCATGTTCCCACCAATAACGTAGCTCCATTTTCTGCCTTTAAAAGCACACACAACCCACAATTCCTCTATTCACTCCGACGAAGGGCTAACGCTCGAAACGTCAGCTTTTGTAATCGTTACGGTGGCCAATTTACCATTTGAACTTTGTTGATATATCCAAATTATGTAGATTACAACAGTTGTCATCTTGAAAAAAAGTTAAAGTTACTTTTATGCTTCAGTTCAAACTGAGCACTTATGTTTTTTCTAACAATGCTCACCCTTACACATTGTTTAACTGTTTTTTTCTGTGGTTTACCTTCATGTTTTATATCATTTCAGCTCATTAACGAGGTTCATGGCAGTTTTTACGAGTCTGAATGAAGTAGCCAGCAGTGTTGTTTTCCTTTTGGCATTTCGCTTCCTGTGGATGACAAATGCCGAGACAATAGCGAAGTAAAGTACTCCTTTTTTCTAGACTGATTAATTCAATTATTGTCAAAAATATTCCTTGCCATTGATAGTGCCATTGTCCCTCTAAAGAGATAGTTTATTCCCTCCTCCCCTTGCCCCCTCCCCCCGGCATCATCGTCGTGTTAGTTTCCCCGGTACCCATTTGTTCCCCAGGCAACCTTATTCCCATGGTCTCTTATTTTCGCGCCGCCTGAAGCGAGAGAGGGGTGGAAAGAAGAGAGACGCTGGGAACGAGGTTGGAGACCTGTAGAACACACCATTAGGAACCTAACTGAGGCTCGACCCAGATCCTCTCACCAAAGTTCTGAGTAACCAAAACGAGAGATTTTATAAACATTCGAAGATGCGCCTCTACAACTCGTATGTAATGTCTTATTTCACTTACTGTTCTGCGATTTGGCATAATTGCAATGAGTCTGAAAAGCAGAAGCTGGAAAGGCTTAATGCCAGAGAGCTCTAAAGTGTGTCTGCAACAAATGGGTGCCCCTTTATGGTGATAACTACGGCTTAACTTTGTCCAATCGTCGTCTACAGGACATTGCCATATTAATTTTTAAAGCTGTAAATGGTATGTTACCTGGATATATAAGTGACTTGTTCGTCGTACGTAATAATAAGAAGCTCTTGAGAGGCACCAACAAGCTTGTTGTCCTATATAAGAAAAGATAAACTTCGGCTTAAAATCTACAACTTTTATTGGTGCCAAAGTGTGGAACTCTTTACCGGATGAATTACGTTCAATGGCAACCCTTAAGGAATTTAAGAATGCTATTAGAGAGTTAAATTTGTAATGTAATGATCTTAAGATTTTTAGAATGTTAGTTATTAATTGATTTTTATATATATATATATATATATAGATATATTTTTATACTTTGCTCGGCATATTAGCATTTAGTATAATTTCAGAGCTGAGCAAAGAGTTTCCAGTAATCTGATTGGTCGAACAGTTCCTTATATGACGCTATATAAACCGCTCCACGCGGTTTATATAAAATGTTACAATAAAATGTTAATAAATGTCACTAAAATGTTATGATTTTAGAAATTTCTCTGTTGCTCAGCTCTGAAATTACACTAAAACAATTATTCGCCTCAGGTTTGGTAAATATTGTCGAATAATCCCCTCGACTTCGTCTCGGGGATTATTCGACGATATTCACCTCGCCTTCGGCGAATAATTGTTAAGTATTGCTAGGGGCCTAATCAGCCTCAAACAACCCGAGTTGAAATAAAGTTACCTACCTACTAGTAGGATTAACACGTATTTAATTGAATTTTTTCATCTGTGTTTTTTTTTTTTGTCTGGTACTCCAGGACACCAGAATATTGCTTCCGCCGCGATCAAGGGCATCCACAATACTTCAAGAATGAATCATGGCACACGACTAACCTTGGAGAGCTTCTTCAGCAAATGTTGCAGTGCTACGATTCACGTGTGAGAGTTGAGCACGGAGGAAGTAAGTAGCGCTGATGAGGCAAATGTCACAGGTCGAGTTTTGGGACCAACCAATCCTTTTCCTCTGATATGACATGGCACAACGATATGTGGGAACTATAATTTTGTACCCAGGTCTCACGCCTGTCCTTATAAAGTGAGAGATCTGGGTACGAGATGTAAACCGCGATTATGAGTGGCATTACTGGCATGCAATGCAACGAGAGGATAGCAAACTGTGTCAGTTTTATAAGCAAGACAACTATGCTAATAAAAGGCTATCCTACAATCTCAGGAAATTTTCTGGGGGGGGAGGGGCCACGAAGTTTCACTCACAAGTGACGTAATGGGTCTCTCTGTAGAAAGCTACACCAGACCCCCCTCTCCTTTTTTGTATCGTCAAAACTATGTTGATGTGTTTTGCTATAGGAGGGAATCCTACAGAAGTCCAAGTCAGTATGTACATTTTGTCCATTGGGAATTTTCAAGTTCGTGATATGGTAAGAGGAGAAACACGGTAAAGTTTTGAAAATCGAAGAACATCAGGCGATAAAGCTTTCTAAAATTCCATATCTGGCTTAAAATCTGCCAAATTTCTTTTAACAAATATTTTGTTTTGACAGCGTGTTTGTATTTTAAAGGACCACTTTCAAACTTTAAGCGAAATGTCGTTTTAGGATTTATTATATTAATTTTCAATTATGGATTCGCGCATCGAATATGTCGATTTGAACTGACTTTAGTATATTATAAGAGTGTTTTTCAGTTCAAAGAATTCTGGAATTTTTAACTTTGGAGGCTACTTGGGTAGTCTCGCGAGCGGTCTAATTTTTCCCTTACGTATCTCACCCTCCCGACCCACAGTTTACACAGAGAGAAAACGATCGCCATCGTAACATCATAATGTTTCCTTCTAATGTTTTAGGATTTCCAATTGTCGTTTTACTTCAGACAGCAATGGCAGGATTCCCGGTTTGCTTATAAGAACCATTTCCATGAAGAAAAAATCACTTTGGGAGGAGCAATCCTGGAACAGCTTTGGCTTCCCCAGACCTATTTTGTCAACAAGAAGGGAGCCAGTGCTAGTACAGATGCCAATTTTTTTGTACGGATTTTTCCTGATGGATCAGTACTTGTGATCACCAAGTAAGCGGAGAAAACATTTTGTGTGAAGTAATAAGTATTGTATTGGTTTTGTTCTATTTCTCTCTGAGATTGTTTGGAAAAAATTGCGCTAATTCAAATTTACTTGTTCATTGGTATTTTCGAGCGATTAAGGCCATTTTGTTTAATCATGATTACGTTGAGCTCTGATTGGTGGTGCAATAAATATGGAAATTACTGCACAACAGATGAACCCGTTGATCCCAATGGACCTACCGATCCTTTCCGAAAATTGCCGACGTTTGTGGTTCATTGACGAGAATGCTCCGAGTCCTTTTTTCACAAGATTTCCCCAACATTTGAAGGGTGAATATGCTCCAAACCGTTTTTTAACTTGTTCTTATCATTAGAAATACGCTCACGATGGACTGCTACATGGATTTAAGAAACTTTCCGTTTGATGTCCAGAAGTGCAACTTAACTTTAGAGAGCTGTAAGTTTACAATCCATATCTTTATATGCTAAGACCAATGCTTATTCCCGATCTCATTAGAGCATCGGTGTTGCTTTACTTCGTTCTGTGATTAGTCCAGAAAACTCATGCTACTCTCTCAACCAATGAGATTAAAATATAAAACCAATCATGACTTGGTCGCCTGTGTTTTCCCGAGCTTTAGGCAGTTGTTTACCTTGGATTCTTATTGGCTCTTGAGCGTATCTTCCTTCCTTCTAATTGGCAGTCGTGATGACCCCAATCAATCGAAAAGCGTTATTCCTATACTGTACTTATTAATTTCTATTCATTCATTATCTCAAAAGTTGGATTCACCACTAAAGATGTGGTTTATAAGTGGGTTTCGTTGGACAGCAGTGAAGCAGTGGAAAAAGATCCAGGACTTACTACATCAGAGTTTGATATTGGTCCTATAAGAATATTCGAATCCGCTACGATGTATAAAACAGGTAAGACATTGTCAAAGGCAGTCGATTTCTATTAACTGACTTCTGTTATCAGTCTACTGTGTACGTAAAAGAAAGTTTCCTCTAACGTTATGTGACAGATATTCTCTTAGTCTCTTTACATATGCACGAAACATACACAAAATATATACAAGGTATGCACAGGATCATAAAGTGCCAGCAACGAATGAAAAGCTCAATTGTATTTTTTAAGATTTCTTTTCTATAATTCAGAATGCTGTGTTTGTCTTAGGGCTGTTTTCTGGTCTAAAAATGGAATTGAATTTTCAACGAAGATCTATGTATTACCTTATTCAAATCTACTTGCCGAGCGCGATGATCGTGGTTCTCTCATGGGTGAGTAATGCTATTAACGTTAAACTTTCAATGTCACTGACATGAACCTCGACCCCCTCCTCTCCAAATTATTCTGGCTTTCGTCTCGTCCTGAGCGACAAAAGGATATGGAGAAGGGGGGAGGGGTGACATTGACAAGAGGGCGGTGTTGGTACCTCTTTTTCTGAGGGTGGGGAGGGATGGGGGATGAAGATGAGCAAGACTGGTACATAGATAGCTTATGATTCACGCGGTATTCCCGATGATCACCACAGAACCTTTACCGAATGAAGCCAAAATTTCCCATCAAAAATTATCATCATGAGAAAAATATTGATTCCGACAACGTGGCTTTAGTAGTAAATACCTAAGTCTCGAGTCAGCACTGCAAGACTTTACCTATTCACTTTATGTATTATAAATTGCTAGCTGAGACAATGCATGATGTAAATAATGATGTTATTCCTTCACTGAATTGAAGGATTTGTTCATCCCTACTGTTTCCTTACTCGGAACTGGTCAGCTCAGACGACCACCACAAATCGTATAATATTATCCAAACTTTAATGATTATTCGATATAAGAGAAATACATTTGTAATTCGAAATCAGAAAACGCAAATTTAGTTTTCATTTCATGGCAAAATTCAAGAAAACATGACTGGAAACTTACTTCTGTGGCGGGTCGTAAAAACAGGTTTCTCACTTCAGGTTAGCAGATTCGGGTAAGCGAACAGATACAAAAATCAACTTCTCTCACTTACTGATTCTTCTGAAAAACTGGTTTAAATCACAACAAGCTAACACTTTAAAATCATTGTGAGGAATTAATGTCAATCACGAGTTGTGTTAATTAGATTATATCTGTCATCATAGGCAACGCCTATTTACTAAACCAAACACCTACTGCAAAAATTCATTCATATAATACGCGATCTTCAGCCTCCAACAACTTTTACATTAAAAAATCCAAACTTGAAATTGAACGAAAATCGTTTTCAAGAGTCGGTGCAAAACTGTGGAATGAGATACCAAGTAAGCTCCGAACACCACCAAAATTCATCTTTAAAAGAAAAATTCGTACGATCTTGTTCAATATATTAAAATTAGAAGACTCCTAGGAAGATTTAGAATCGATAATCCCTAAAGTTAATAAATACTCTTAGTAGCTATCACCTTTGTCTCGCCCACCTTACCTTATCCATTTTATCTTATGTATTCACTTAGAATGTATTCACTTAAATGTATTCACTTAAATGTATTCACTTAAATGTATTCACTTAAATGTATTCACTTAAAAATTATGTATTTATGTCATTTTGTATTCACTTAATTATTGTGTTTTAATTGTGTGTATTTTCCTCTTCTTTTACTGATTATCCTGGCCCGCCTCGATTAGCACTGCTATCTGCGGAGCTAGGGGATTCAGGATTGATTGTTATTGTTATTGTTAAATAAACGTGTTTTAAATTTTTTTTAAAAAAAAAAAAAAAGCACTGCCAAAATGATTGGAAAAGGGTAATTCTAATCTGAATAATGTTGTTACCATTATTACCAGTATTGCGGCAGTTGTACACATCTGGATGCCAGGTTAAAAAAAAAAAACACTAAAGCTAAGCAG